AGGATGAAATTCTGCAAATTTTCCAAATTTTGTGGGGTTTGTTTTTGCTTGTTTGCTTATTTATTTTTGTCTTACTTGAAAATATTTGTGCAATAACTGAATTTTTTTTTCCTGTATATTAACATTACTATTTATCTGGCTTTGAGGAACCAGTTCTTTGTTTCCTAGAATCAATTTTATTCCCTTCGTACCTTGACAGCTCTCTTGCTTTACAGTATCTAGTTTCAATAAGGAAAACTTTTAAAATGCTTCATTTGGTTTTGTCAGAGATCAAAAAAAAAACAAAACAAAACAAAAAAAAACACATAAAAGTATCTAGATCCAAAACACTGAATCTAATACTTGGAAGAGGCATTTCTGTAGCATAGCTTATCTTGTGTGAGGGAGCCACTGTAGATGACAACAACAAAAAAAGTAGGCATGAACAGATTTCACTTAATATTAAAGCTGTATTGTAGACAACAGCTGCTGATTGTTTGAAGTCACTGTTTTTTACTTCTGTGACTGGTGTGAAGTCTTCTTGCTCTACGGTATTCACTCAGATTTAAAAGAAAAAGAAAAAATAGGCTTTCTGATTCACTAGATTTAGCATCTTTTGGGATTTGAGGGGTATGGGATGTGATTATTTAAAAATTGTTCCAGGTTGTATAGAAACAAAACATATAAAATATTTTCACTGTTAGTTACTTAAAATGAAGCAAATTGAACTGTTTACTGCATTTTAATTAGAAGATACATCAGTATAGAGGCTCACTGAATAAGCAAACTAAGAATAATTCTAATGTGTTCAAATAAGACATTTTCGTTTTAATGTTCACTTTTATTTGTCAAAGCCATCAAAAGGAACAAATCCCCAAGTATAAACAAATTGATAACATCAGTAATTGTTTGAAAACACTGTACGTAGTGGATTTGCCTACATTTATTTATTATATATTTTCAACCAGATCTTCTTTATTAACTTTCATTCCTGAAGGACTGAATTTTAAAAATCCCTTAATCCACCAAGTGTTATAAAGTGGTTTTGTAATTAGTTATGATAGAACTTAAGTACAAGACAAATCACAAAAGTATATTCTTGTTCCCATTACATCACTAAAAGGAAGTCAGCATTACATTGTAAGCCTTGTAAAGTGTTATTTGTTTAGGTGCCAGCAGTAAGTGATTACAGGAGAATTTCGTTAGTTTTAAGGTCTTCTCCAAGCATATGGACAATTACAAAAAACAACAACAAACAAAACAACAACAACAGAAACACAGTAAAATCTATAGGGCTTCTGTTTGATTAATCTAGGCCATTTAAAGAACTTTTACTAATCTACAAAGGAAGTGAAAGTTTCCAGCTATGCAAAGGTTTGAGCCCATCTCTAAAGTTAGTATGACCAGACACACAGGGTGGTTTGTAGTTAATATTCAATGTCTGTAAACTCTGTTAATGTCAATGAAATTATGGCAAATTATACAAACTTGTGATCTCCATAACCTGATTAAAGACACACGTAAATTCTCAACCAACTAGAAATTAAAATTGTAACTGAAGATTTGCCATCCAAAGTATTGTCTTTCTCAGCCTCCTGCTGCTTTGAATAATATGCAGCCCTGATTATGCTCTGACTTAAAACTTACAGTAGGTAACACAGCCAATGACTGATCTACAGGAGAAGTATCTGCTTGGATGAAATGTTTAGTTTTGTGTGCTGTAGTTATAGCTAAAATGTTCTGAATAATTTTATTTCTAATAACACTGGGAAAGTTATTTCTTTATCCTCACAAAATTTTAATTTTGAAAGTATAGTTTTTAGCATTGTCACTTGAGTGAATATGGGATGGTAAAGTTCATTACTGCAGTTTATACGACGTAGACTTTAATGAGTTGTGCTGTGTTATAATGAAGCCTTTAGATTGGATGTTGCATTGCTCTATTGATGGCATTAAATGGAGGACAATAAATTGTACCAAAACAAGATAAGGAGTGTTAGAGATTCTTATATTTTTAAAAAGTTTGAATGTATGGATATCCAGTCCTTTATTTCTTACAACTGCCTTTAGTCTGTCATGATATTTAAAAAGTTAGGAGACTAGACTAGAGCAAAATAGAACTTCATAATGTGTTTCATAAAAAAAAAAAAAATAATAATCCCTGTTTCTTAACTAATTAAGTAGTGATCATAAAAACAGTGAGACTAAAGACTAAGGAAGAATTTAATGTAAGAATTAAACTACCCAAATCACTTTCTTTAATGTCCTCTTAATAGTTTTACATTACTGTGAATCTCAACAGAGTAAGACTTATGTACATTAATTCAAATGAGTAGAATCAGTAAATGAAAAAATGAATTTTCTCTCACTTAAGAGCTTATTTCAAGACATTTCACCTTTGGTACTGCCTAGAAAAGAAAAAAAAGTGTAACATAGATCAAGTATTGGACCCTTTTGGCAAAGGAACACCTACAGTGAGATTCTTGATGTTTTGATGTACTACTTCATTTTGTTACTCACTTTCAGGTTTTTTTTTTTTTGTGTCAATTCTTTGCTGTTTTTCCATATGCAGTGTTTGATGATTACTTTTTATAATTTTGATATATTGATATATTATTTGGCATGGAAACAACTAAAAAGATAGAGACTGAAAACAAGAAAACACATACATAAAAAATTTCAATGCCCCACTAGTTTTAGATTTTAAAATGGAGTCTTCTTCTAATCTGAGCAAATCCAGCAATTTGGGAAGGAAAAGTTTATGATTTGGACCTGGACATGCATTTCCTAATAATTGTACATCAGCTCAATTCTGAATACCTTGTGGTCTGAAAGACCATGAGTCAAGGGATACGGACAAAAGATTTGAAGTTTAGAAGTAGAATTTGACGTACAGATAGGTAAAATATTACTTCTAATTTATTTGTAATATCTACGTACTAGAATAAGGTCTTTTATGTATGCTTTAGGAAGGTGTTTTTGAAAAAATATTTGGTTTGGATTTTAATATAGTGGGAAAGATGAAATACATAAGTTGAACTGATTTTTATCTTTGTAAGTAATGCCTGACATACAATCATGTCTTGAGAATGAAAATGGGCTAATTCTGATAAAATAAAACAATTCCCAAACTTTTTTTTTTTACAGATTCATAAAGAACAGACAAAATACACCAGGGTAATGATAAACTAATACTTAACAGAGGAGTGATGTAGGCTTACCAGTTCTCTGTTGTTTTACTTTTAAATCTCTTCTTAAACTTCTGCAATACCTAAAACACTCAACAATATGATGGTAAAAATGTTAATTTCAGTTTTTTGGGGTTTGGGTTTTAAACTATTCAAGTGACATTTGTGTGCTCATACACAAGTAAAACATGTATGTATTCTTTTTCATGGCAGTGCAGTAGCTCAGGCTAACAAAAAGATAGGTAACATTGTGGTTTTTTTCTGTCTTTATGTTAAATTTGAAAGATTTCTGAACAAGTACTAAGCAAGGAAAATAGGTGATCAGAATGCTCTTTGCTGTCACAACTAGTGTGAATTTGATGGATAATTAAGGTTTGTACTTATGTATACATAAATGCAAAGCTAAAGCTGGAAAGAAGGTGATTAATGAATGTCATAGTAACTCAGTTTAAAGTACTACAAGATATAACAGGGAATAAGAAATTCTTTTTCTATTCAATATTATCATGTTGTTAAATATGTGACTTTGCCATTTTAAAATTGTCTTAGATATGGTTATTCAGTCCTGTCTTCCACCTATATAGATTGCACTTCCCCACAGCACCATTTCCTAATGTCTACAGAATACAAAAATAATAAAAGATGTGTACATTGCCCAGTGAAGCAGACTGCCATTGGAAGGGATTTCTGAAAGCTTGAGTACTGGTTAGTTATTTTGAAAATCCAACCTGATATATAACTTGCATTAATAGTTAGCAAAATATCTTTGAATGTCTGTCCCATATCCTTTTCAGATCTGCATACTCAGCATGGAATTTAAATAAATAATAATGTGTTTCTGGGCCAGTTACTGTTTCCACAGAGGTGATTTTCATGTAAATGAGTAAGCTGGAATGTACATGTTTAGTAATAAAAAAGTATTTTCTTGATTCAAAATTGTATAGGTTGAAATGGAGCTGAATTTAATATTGTTCCTGGACTCTCAATTTTTTTTCTGCGTATATTTGACTGGTATGTTTTTTTATCTGGAGACAGACTGCTATCCACTGCGGACACTATGGCTAACTCAGTAGGTACTTTGCCAGCTAAACCTTTTGACATATATACGTGTAGACAATGTTTGCATATCATGTATAGCTGCTCACAGCCAAGGACTATATGCAGGTGTTGCAAAGGTATCTCAGGAGAAAAAAAGAAGTATAAAGTAGTTGTCTAACTTGGTTGGGAATATTTGCGCTGTTAGCTTGTATTTACTACTAAATCGTCTTCTACAAAGCTTGTTCCAATGAGTCAGTGCATCATTTGGACAGAACTCCCAGAAGCATGCTAAATATACCCAGCTCTTCAACAGGACTTTCCTCTTACTGTCCATCCAGCCAGAGCTGTAAAAATTTAAGAAAAAATGGCCAGCAGTGAGAACAGCATGTGTTACAGGAAGGTTACTTAGTCTTCAGCTTCAGCACTGCACTGCAGACAATACTGGTGAAGTGTGTTAAGGTCAAATGTCTTTCTTAAAGTTGTATTTGAAAATGTTTGAGCTGATACAGGTTGTAAAGGCATGGCCATATGTCAGTTGTATGTACCCTTCATCGTATCACCCTAATACAGCATATATATAAGAAAGGAACTGAAGTGCCAAGGTGTTACAGCATAAAACAACTGATAAACAAGAACTGAAAGTCTTTCCTGTTCAACTGTTCTTAGTATAAATCAAGTGTGACGCTCATATTTGTGCTTTGAACAAGATTGACTAAACCTTTTAATATTACAGTAAGTACACCTTTCTTAAATTTATGATGGGCGTGTATTAATCATCCTTACTATTTCTACTAGAGGCAGAACCACTTGGAAGCATGACCACGATGACCTATATCTGCACTGGCAGTGGAGAAGGGCAGTCTCTTGGAGGTCTGATAGTCACTGCACAAATGAAGAAATATCCACTTGTACAGATCTGAATTTCTTCATGTGCAGACATGGTTGGGCACTTTTTGCTGGTGGTACTCTATTTTTCTTTCATATGAAGTCTCTCTTGTCAATAAAATGCTCACTTCTTGATACTAAACTCCCTTTGTTATATCTGCTTTCTTTTTACAAATTTAATGTCAGCCGATAAATTAAATCCTTAGTCTTTTTTTTTTTTTTTTTTTTTTACTCAACCAGTATTTAAAGAAAGCTTAAAGATTTGACCCATCCTTCCGAATCCAACACTCATGAAAATCAAAGAAAAAGCTCCTTATATTGTAAGTAACAAATTAAGCTGATGCTGTTATGAAATCATGTTTGATGTGTATATATAAAAAAAGGATAAAAAGAAAAAATACAAAACAAGCAATGATACATGAAATAGTATATGCTAAATTACTTGAAGGTTTTTGCAATTGCAATTCTTTGGCAGATTATTTTAGGGTATATCCTACAAAACAAATGCTGAACTGTTTCCACCAACTAGACCATAAACAAGTACCTCAAAATTGCGTGCGGAGTCTGTAACAATCAGGTTCTCATTCATGAAGCATTCATATAAGTACACCCTACAGGAATTATTTAACAACTACAATGCCTGTGGGAAAGCTATGAGTTACTGGAAAACATTCTTCTAAGTACACTTGAGAGAATAAAATCTCTATTGCTCTCTTCTTCGTGTCTTTAACTGTGTAGCTCAACTGAACACACACATGCATGCAACTGTCGACAGTGCCATCCACTTGTTCTACCAGTGTAAAATTCAGCACTGCTTAGAGAGCCTGTATGTAGGTTATTCATTGTATAAACTTCTAGTGGTTTGTAGATATAATATGCATAAGTCCTTTTTTTCTGCTTCCAAAAAGCTGTTGATACCTGCGGTGATAGAGGAATCACTCCTCATTTGGAAGGTCAAGTACTGGTAGATCTAATTTTTCATAATTAGGAAAGACTTTAGTTCCAGGCTGAGTGATGAGATACGTGGTTGTGACTGACAGAGAGGCTGCCATGTGCTACTGAGTTGTCACCAGCCCTGTGCAGACATCTTGTGAGGAAACAGGGCTTTTTTTTCCTTACATTCTTTGGTGAATGTTGTAACATTACAACCATCACAGAATTTTGGTGTGGCTTTCCAGTTTTTTAAGTACTTCACAGGTTCAAATTGTGTGAAGCATGCTGTCATCCTTCAACCAACTTCCAGAAGTTTAGGGTTTTTCTTGGAAGTCTCCTTCCCAAACAGAAACTTGCCCCTGCCTATCCTGTGCTATGAAAGCTGACATTATCAGAGCCTAAGGTTTTATGCTTACAGATGGCAGCTTTTTATACTGAAGTCTGAAAGCAAAGATGCTTTTAGATCTTGTACTGCCTCATATGTGACCAGGGATAAGGTAGCTTTTAGCAGGGATTTGCATTAATAAAAATTAAGGCTTTAGGATTTTACTTCAAAGGAAAATGTCAATGAAAGCATATCCTCTCTTAGTTGCATTGGTAGCAGAATATTAACATCACAGATGTAAAAGTTTATATAGCTAGAAGCTGTGGTCTCTTTCTCTCAGTGGAGAAAAAATAATTCTTAGATCACATTTAGAAGATGCAGCACAGAAATGAGGAGTATCTTTTTCAGTAGCAATAAGCATGTAGAACACATTCATTTTCAAATTGGAATATGTGTTATTAAAAATAATTTAATTTTTAATGTATGAATTCTAGATGGGCATTGACATAGAAACAAATATATTAGTCATTATACAGGAGCTTTTGCAAGCTATACTGGTACTGAGTATTATTTTATGCTACAAATACAATCATTGATTTCAGCAAAACATTTCCACAGTGTAAGCTGCAGCTTGAGGGACAGAAAAATCCATCTGTGTAAAGTATAACTTATCAAATACAATTACACAGTAAAATGGATTATTTCATTGACACTAGTCCACAGGAACATCCAATTTGCAAATAGTGAAGAGGTTTTTGAATGTGGAGAGTCATTTTCTGTTTAAACTAAGAAAAATGTTTAGTCAAATTTTTAGAACAAAGCGAAGTGAGATGTATTTGTTTTCTTACCATCCCAAGTAATTAAAGTATTTTAATTCCTTTCCAGTAATATAAGTGAATATAAATATTATTCACTTACTAAGTGGAAAGTATATTAACATAATTCTCAGTCAAGTATTACAGAAACATTAAAGGCTTTAATCAGTCTTCTAAAATCTTGAAAAATGTTATAAAAAAAAAAAAACAAAAAAAAACAAAAAAAAACCATGATCTTGTACAAGTGTCATTTGGAGATCTTGTATGAGATCTGAAGCTTTTCTGCTTTACTCTTACCTTAACCCAGAATACCAGCAACTTGGCCCTGAGTACAAGCTCAGATTCTTAGCTGTTACCTGGTGTCACGTTTTACTACTTGATGAATATATGTCAGGTGCATTTATACATATATTGCATTGAATGAGGTTAATACTAATGTAAGCAGACATGTCTTAATTGTTTCTTTAGTTTTCACGAAGGTGGTAAGAATATACCTGGTCTAGGAATCTGAAAATTAACTTTTTTTCTAAAGAAGAAAAAAGCATTGCTCTTCTCACATAACTAGTTTCATCATCAGGCTGTATCAAACAGGTAGAATAAAAATCAGTTTCTCTTGAGATCCCTCCTAGCTACAGAAAGGGCTGGAGAGAATGGCTTCAAATTGTGTCATGAGAGGTTCAAGTTGGATATTAGGAACATTGTCTTCTCCAAAAGAGCAGTCAGGGTCTGGAAAGAACTGCCCAGGGAGGTGATTGACTCACCACCCCTGGAAGTGCTCAAGAAATATTTATGTTATACTAAAGGCCATGATCTAGTGGAGAAATATGGGTGGTAGATGGACAGTTGGACTAGCTGATTTTTGAGGTCTTTTCCAAACTTGGTGGTTCTATGATTCTATGATAAGTAGTAATAGCTTTTTTTACAATAGACCTTTTGACCAAAAGAGACTTGAAAGACTACTGTAGCCAAATTAGTATCCCACTTTCCATGATAAATGTAGATCTTTCTACACGGATCCCGTAGATTTATAAAAAGTATGTTTGAATGTGTTTATATGAATCTTTACTGAAAGAACAGTTACTGTGGAGAGGACAAGTAGTCACTCGGTAAAATGTGGAATACAGAATCGTGATACTTGAAAAATTACTGATATTTTCATTAATACTAGCATATGTTGAAATATTCCTAGTTACAAATATCACTTACCAAGAGTAGCAGATTGAAGTCAAGATTTTTATATGCATGCATGTTTCTACCTTTTCTTTCACTCTTGAGCTAGGATTACTTTTTCTTAACGTGAATATTGCTGGACTTGAAATAGTTTAAATTGAAATTAATATACAGTGATATAATAAAATGCATCTTTATTAAAAAGCTTCAGAAGAGCAAAGACACTGTAGAATTAAACTTTGCCTTAGCGAATTAGGTATATTTTCTATCATGGCAGGTATGTCATGTATTATGTGGGAGATACTGGATCAAATAAATTATAACATCAAATAAATCATCTCAGAAAGCATACTATATTAATATTAAATCAAATATGTTTAAGAATTCTGCAGCCTACAGGTAGTTAAAAAGACATTCTTTTCTAAGAAGAATTCAGTTCACTAAACAAGCAAAATCTGCACAGTCTGGTAAAAAAGCAGAAATATTCCTTTGATAGCTTTTCTCTATTAGATTGCTTTATCAATTCAGATACCAAAATAGAAGAATGGCAGCACATTCGAGACTAGTGAGTTTTCTTAACAGTTTTCAGTTGCGGATGAGGAGGCTCTGTTACTGAGGAGTGTTATGAGATGAACATTTATATGATGACTAGAGTGTGGATCATTGCCGTGACTGTTTATTCTAATTCTTAATGAAAGACCGCTTCCTATTACATATCCATGGAAGTCTGCTTTTTACTGTTATTGGCATTTTTCTTACTTTAAGCTGCATAAGAACTGCTTAGAATTTATACTGTTACACAATCATACTGTCCAAATTTTGTCAAGATCAGTCTTTTGCCTTGGCAAGTTTCACTTTTTTTTTCTTGTGTTCATTTAAAACACTTGACTTTCACATCGTTTTCCATTTTTTATTTTACCTTTGGAGTAGCCAATTACTTGTCTTGATACATGTTTTCAAGAAACTCGCTTATGTATTTGGAAGATATTTTGCTATTGTAGAGCTATCTAGTAATAGGTTTTATGAGAAGTTCTGGGCTGTACATTTTCCAGCTCACAGTGCTGAATGCATTTATATTATTGGTGCTATTGTACCTGACTAACACTTGAACTTCTAAGGAGGAGATCTGTTGTATTAAATGAGAACTATTAACAGTTCCTAAGAAGGAACTGTACCACTAACATCTAAGCAAATAGTAGCCATGAGAAGATTTGATTGGGATTGAGAGGTAGGTGAGTATAAATGGTTTCCTCATGGATTTCATCCATTAGCAGCTGTCTCTCTTGTCATTGAAATGAACATCAGTTTAGGTATGAAGTTCCACTGTGCCAAATCAAGTGTAACATCCCCTCTGACCTCAGTGATCCATGCCATTCTGACAAATTTCTTCAGAAACATAATATGAATGTGTAATGAGCAGTGACAGAACTGCTTATACATATGGAAGCAAAAATGTGAGTTTTAAAAACAAAATAATGAAGTTGATATTGTTTTTCTAGAGAGAGCACAAGGCAGCACACAGGAATATCTGGAACTAAATTACTGCTGAAAGAAGGAGCAAAAAGTGTTCCATGAAAACATGCTTGTAAAATTATGATGTCCTTTGACAGTCTTTTTCTTAATTCAAGTTGATTATGGTTTGTGATGTCCAAAATCTTCACTCCACATAGGCAAACAGCAAGTAGTTTCTATTGGCAAGGCATGAAAAGATACCTGCCATGTTGTATAATTCATCTAAATTTTTCTGTTTGAGAACCCAGAAGAGGAATTAAATAGCCAGATATGGACACTATTTCTTCTGGTCACAATTTTAAAATGTCCCAAAGTTT